TACAAAATTACATATATATTTATATATATATATATATCGAATATCGCTGCAAATGAGTATCACGTGTGTATTTATGCATGAGTATGTGTATGTATGTATGTTTTTGATTGAATGTCTCTGTCGGTGTGTCCTTAAGCGATTAGACTTCGTACGCTATTGTAAGAAACCTTCTAAACGTTACAATTCAAATGTATTTTTCTCCCCTCACCTTTCGTTTATTTTCGACCCTTTCCCTCTTTTTTAATAAATCTAAATTTACGCGGTAGGATGAGCGCCCTTCGAGCGGGCTACGCATGTTCGCCGGCAGCTCCACCGCTGTTGTGGGTTTTTTTTTATTTTTTTTTATATTGTTTGGCAACGTTTGATTCGTCTGGCACCGTTTCCCGTTTCGACGCTGTCGGCCCTTCGAAAAACAGAACGGGATATCACCGTGGAGAATCTTTCGTACAAAATTGGCAGGAATCGTTTTCTTTTAGATTTTCGGGACTCTCCGATTAGCCGCGTGTCTTGCTACGATACGCACCGCGATCACACACCCACACGCACACACACCCTCGTCGCGAAGAAATTGTTCTCGAAGTCTGACGTTGAAAACGCTTCTCGAATGTTCGGTCCTCGACTGATTTGATAAGGTACGCACCTTATAAAATCTAATCCAGACCGATAATATTATCTGATCATTGACTTTTGATTAACAGCGACACAATTATTTTTTAAAGAAATGTAAATTTCATTGGATTATTATGAATGTTAGTATGTGATTCACTACTCCTTTTGTTTACACGACCGTATTGTAACATTGGAAACTAATTATACTAAATATTGATGAAGTTAACCGCTTAAGGACATAGTTAACTAGGTTTTTACGTAATGTGGAATTTCCTTTATTCCGAGTTAACTCAGACTTGCTACACCAGTTCGGTTTATTCGAAAACATGAATATTTGTGTGATTAATTTTACCAGAATCCTGTAAAAAATGCAATCTTTAAGCGGTTAAAAATCGTACAAATGTTTGGTTTTCTTAAAAATGAAGACTGATTTTAGTTCATAAGCAGATTAAATGTATCATTTCTATTAGGGATCCTGTCAAAAGGACCAAATTTTATATTTCAACATTTGTGTTACATAGCCAAATATTCTGCTTGAAACCCCGGTAAAGCTGTCACAGAAATGATTCGAATGAATCGACAAGTAGATGAGCCAGATTTTCGAGAGTCCTTAACCAACACACTTCCAAAAATAGTGCCTCAAAACATCCCGAAAAGACTTTCCCATTCATCGGGTATTAAAGCAATACGGCAGATAAATTTTCAAGAGCTTTCAACTTTAAGCTCTCCCCCGTTGGTCTGAGTCAGACTGACCCATTCTACTTGAACCACTCTCCAGTCCTCCACTCGAACACATCCGCTACGTTCATACAACCGAACGGTCGAACATCGCCCACGAGATAAACGGAGAAATTTTCTGCTTCCATTTCCATTCGTATGTCTCGTTTATTTTTCGACTTTTCCATCGTCGTCGTTTGGAACATCGCGAAATATTCTCTCGATCCGTTCGAACTTTTCGATCGCCGATGTTCTTCGAGTCGTAGCAAAACGAAAAACGCAAGAAACTGTGGGACGATTTTCCGGGCCATGCTACGCGATTTCTCTCCATCCTGAGGCTAAACCGTGCGATTCGCTCGATCAGCAGACAGCCCATGTAATTAGCGCGTTCCCTCGCCCGACGATTAGGCGGTCTATCCGGGCCGGTAATTAACGTTGGCATCGTTAGCGCGTTAGTCTCGTTTACCCTCCTACCCCTTCGCAGAGCCAAATAGAGGGGTTGAAACGGCCGTGTGTATGTGTGTGTGAGACTGCGAATAGAGAAGGGTCCGTCGGTTCCATACAGATTAAAAATAATAACCAGCGACCCGCCCTCGTCACGGTAAAGTGTTCCCATTTTCTTTGGGAAAGGCCCGACGAAATGGCGCCAGGTGTAATTAACACGTTCACTGGTCCCCGATTCTGTAACATATTCCTCACTCGAACGATTCATGCGAAGAAGTATTTTTCCTTTGGAATGTTTCGATGCTATCGAGATTCAGAAAATAATTCGTTATATTTATCAGGATCACGTATCGAGATCCTTTTAAGAAATCACAAGTGACAGATAAATTTTTAATTTATGGATCTTTAACACTTTGACTGCCACGTCACCCACATATGGGTGACACGTACATTGCCAATAATCTGGATTATTTAAATATTGTTATAAAATTTGTGCGTAAAATTAAGATAGCAGTATAGTTTGAAACACGACCAACAGCCTCTATTAACTATACGCATATATTTTCGACGATTTATGACTTAAAAAACGAGATAAGTTGTGTCTGACTACGTACGACCATTTTCACTGTGGCAGTAAATGTGTTAAGTAATTCATAGGAGCAAGAGTGAAAGCAGGAATTTCCTTCAATTATGAGTTGATACATTTGAAATTGAATCTTCTCAATTTTTTACTGAGTGAAAATCCTGTAGGATGTTGGCAAAGTATTATGAATATAGATCCTTGATTTCGTCGAAAAACACAGCAATTCGTGTATTCTAACAGATCGGAACAAATTCTTGAGATCTATATCCTTTCGAAATACGTGGTCTGCGGTCACGTGTATGTATGCACGAGTCAGTGGATCCACAAAAGTTAGTACGTTATCCCAACCCAACTGTGGAAAATACAGTGAACGTGTTAAAAGTACAAAGAAGAACATCTGATAACGAAAGAAGAAGACTATAATCTGATAACGAAAGAAGAAGGCAACTTTTCTTCCTTTAACCGAGAAACCTTTTTCGAGAAGTTATAAATCGCCGCAAAAGGTTTAAACAGGTTCTCGGCAGGTTCTTACAAAATGCGTATCGCACGGAAACAAAAAAAAAAAAAAAAAAAAAAAGGAAACCAAAAAAAATCTTGTTCAGGATTCGGTAATTTCACTGTATCACGCGACTACGCGTGCTGGTACGAGAAGAATTCAACAATAGGGTTTCGTGTCTCCCCCATGTTTTTTTTACGATACGTCCTCTGCACCTTTCGTGGCCCGAAAAAGTTCATCGCTTCCCGTTCCACGATCTTGCAAAAACTCTTGCGTTTTCCAGGATTTCCCTCAACTTTCACGGTTCCATCAAACTCCTCCAACCCAGAAGACATCGGGAAAAAATACAAAGAATCTTGACACACACACACATTTCGCCTCGATTTTCTTGGACGTGGATTTCTCTTCTCTGTCGTGGCCTGTCCATTAATCCTCCGGCCGCGAAGAAATGCAGAGACAGAAACTCTTCCAGGCCACTTGACGTCGAAATTGCGCTAATTCCGATGATTTACCGTGGCAAGTCCATGGGGGGGAGCCAGCCCTGTCAGAAAGGACAGATACAAATACACGAGACCAGTTCTAATTCGCGGGGAACACGCGAGGACGCGTGCGTGGCCGACAACGCGGCATTCATGAACTTTCCTCTCCGCTTCACCCCCCTAGCTTCACTGTTTGTTTCCTTTCCCTATTCTTCCTTAATTTATCTTCCAGTAACAACCCGCTCCATGACTTCGCCTCGCCTCGTGGAAGCTTCCGCGAAAGAAAAATCTCAGGCTTGGCTCTTCCGCCTTCTCTATCCGGCCAAAGAGAGGCGAAAACCGCGCCAGGAACGGAAACGGTCTTTCTTGCGTGCTCGAGGGAAACGAGGGAGGATCGAGTGGGCACACGATTCCCGATTCTTCCTTTAGCCCTTGGTCTATCCGTCCGATCAAACTCGTTCCGTGGCTACCGTTCTAGGTGTGCAGTTTGACGGGGAGATCATTTACGATCACTGGATGTCTTCTGTGTTAGCTGGATAGATGTGTACCATTAGCGAAGGAAAGCTAAACGAATCTGGTATTTGCTCGGGTATAGACATCGATGGCGAAACTGGAATTCTTTCGATGTCTGGGTTAAGTACCTAACCCAGATCCTTGATAGATGCGCGGTTTCGGTGGATATGTGTACTTAGAAGGGAAAAGCCGATATTGGACTGTCTTCTGATTAAGTTATCACGATGTAGGCTGATGAGTTGTAGATAGTTTTTTCACATCCTATGTGTACCTGGACCTGTCATCTTCCATATCGAGAGTTCATCGTCATCTGGCTTCTTAGTAAGCTAGTAATATTGTAGGAGCGTTGTAAAAATGAGAGGGCCCAAGCGGGATTCGAACTCACGACCCCCGGCGCCGAAAGCAGAGACTCTACCCACTGCTCCACGGAACCCTCCTATTTTCCCAAGATGTTATTTGCTCCTTTGTTGGGTACGGACTTCCCGATCCCACAATATCTTACATCTCTTCAATCAGGTGTGCAATCGCAGTAAACAGAAGCGAATTATCGCGGTACGAACTTCATTTCTGACCCCCCGTTGACCAACAATTGTCCATGGTTCATTCCCTGGTTCATGTAGGTATATCTCGATAGCGAGGCAATGATACGTTCAGCTCGACTTTACTTCGCATCACCATTGATCATCCTCTTCCTGTGATCTGGATCCCTACCATTCCCATCTCTCGTAACGAACACCTCGATGCTGAACTAGGCGTCCCCCAAAGTCAAACAGATCCCGTAAAACAAAGTAAAAAAGAAACGTTACGACCAATCTCATCTCGTGGCGTTCCTCGAGCTGTCATCTGATCGAGGCACCCATTCCCTCGTGAATCGTCTGTATACGGTCCGTTGGCCAGCCAGCGATCCCAGTTCTAGGTTGACAGGAACAGAAGGACGTACGGCCTTCGGCAGAGAATCCACGATTTTCTGATCGACACATTCCGCGGCCGCGAAGACGCTTCCACGGTATCCGGATAATTCCCGGCGGGAAGATCGTCTCGCAGGCAGATGCCTCCGGTCGTGGTTAGACACGCGCCGGATACGGTGCTCAGGCGAATAGCTTTTGCTCGCGTCGCTGCCATTGGCATTCGTGCTGCCGTCGTCGGTGCCACGGCGTTGCTGCTGTCTCTGTTGCGTTGCTCGTTGGCGGCCAGCGTGGAACAATGGGTCGCGACGGCTAGGTCGCCAGGTTCTGCAACACACAATGACACGCAATGATGAACGATGCCTGGGCTGGCGGCGGGCGCGGTCCCGGTCTCGTTAAAACGGTTAAAACGCCTAGTGTGTGAACACGCGAATTCACAGTCCCCCCCCCCCCCATATGTCTGTCTGTTGGTTTTTATTTGGCTCTTTGTTGTCCACTGTATGTATGTATATGTGTGTGTGTTTTTTTTCTCGTCACTAGTCAGCTTCCACGCATTGTTCGGGAATTAAAGGGACGTCCAGCGGGTAGGGGGGGGGGATGAACAAAGAGGGATCGGCCTCTAATTCCGCGCGACAATGTCCGTTAACGAGAGACGAAGAATTTCGATCGACGAAACATCATTCCTCTTTCACTCGCTCACCCCTCGAACGACTCTTTCCACCCTGCGAACTCACTAATTTTCCGTCCCGTTGCTGAGTGGAAATTCATTGGCAGGGGAACTGCTGGGCGCGTCGCTTCTGCGAAAGGTGGCCATCGGGATTGACGGAACGGGGACACGAGTACCGTTGAGTAACGAGGGTACAAAAAGGGGACATCCGGGGATTAAACGTGCGAGAGCTTGTGAACTTGATTGCGCGAAATTCTCGACGCGGTGCTGATGGAAGCAGAGGGGAAATAATTGTTACGGACTATTATTGACCACTCAAGGTCTCTTTTCACCCCTCCCATTAAAGATTGCGTTAGTGTGGACTTATTTACTCTTTATAGCCGTGAGCTCTAAACTCTCCTTACCATCGTCAGTGTTAGTATGGAGAAACAAATATAAGAGTCTAAGCCTGTTTGTCCTACGAAGGCAGACGAAAAGCATGAAAAAATATGTTGAGCTTGAAGAGAGGTGGTATGATCGTATAAATCTGCAATGATATACAGAAAATTATACTGTACTTCGTACGAAACAGTCAGTCACAGACGATGCGTTAAACACGATGTAAACGCTAATATTTGCCTTCGAAAAATATATAACGTTGAATCCATCAAACACCAGACACAGCGGAATGCAAAGCGGCTGTAATCGTTGTTGTTTGCACGCTAATCGAAACACATACACGATCGTGTGCTTAAATTTTAAAGTTTATATGCTGGATGCTGATGATACGATGGGAGCTGAACAATGAATCGAAGTTCGGGATATTTTTTAAATTATTAACGACTTGTTTTCGCTAAAGTTAAAGTGAAAAAAATAAGTATCGTTTGAATCCTATAATCGAGATCAATATCGCTACGCCAAGGAATATATTAGGTCGATTCACAAGTACCTTCCGTCATGAACACTGAAACAATTAGTAAATATTATACAATTATTAAGTAACGGTCATAGGATTAGAGTCAAACTGACCATCAATAATTATGTTTAGAGGTAATGGGGGATGTTACATAAATTGACATTTATTATTAAAATACCACAAATCGACATTTTAAAAAACGAGAACGGAAGTTATTAATGATTCGACCTAATATTTATGCAAGAGGTGAAATAATTTCTAGTAACGGCTGTTGTAACACAATTATTCAATGTTAATAAAGATTCTCAATGGAAAAATCATTCTTATTGGACTGCAGAAGTTTCTTGCAGACTCACAATTTTGGATACAGACATGTAACAATTGAGTAGCTAAGTATAAATAAATTTGCTGTGTACCGTTTAAAAGCTTGAAATTAAACAAACTTCTCCTTCAACCATCCCGAAAATTCTCCGGTTCTCTTCCTCGCATTGCGATCATCGAAGTAAACGCAGCGGGAATGGATAAAAATTCCCTGTCGGCGAAAAGCCGATCCAACGAAGGGATACGTCTGGCCCGTCGACTAATTTTACAGCGGCGCCGGTGTGGTGCAAATGAAAAACGGACATCCTATAAATCCTGCATGGTCGCGTGCGTCCGGATACGAAGATCTCCGTTAGCCGATCGCAATTTGCGCGATCTCCGATATTGCTGCCGGCTCGATTCGCGTCGTGAGATATTAACGCCGCTGGAGCCGACCTCCACCGTTTCCCCTCCCTCTTTTCTCCTACCCAATATCGTCCCACCTCCTAGCTCACGGTTCGACGTCCACCCTTCCCGTTTGCACACGGTGTATCGGGTCCGTCTCTACGGTGTTCCCGAATTAACCGTAGCAAACCGATCTGCGGTGGGTCAAAGTTCTACCGTGGACTGTACGCAATCAGCTGCTAATTGGGAAATGATTGGAGCCACCTCCGGCCGATAGCCATCGGTGCCTCTAACTATCCCACCGACCGCCGAATAACCCGTGGCCCTCCACCCCTTTCCCCCCACGCTATAAATGCTCCCATAAATGCTGAAACTGTACACGCATACGGGTCGTACCTGTCCGCCGCAATGGACCGACGACCAGCCACGAACGAGCTGCTCCGACATAGAACCTAGCCCATTGATACCAGAGAGAGAGGGGGTCGGCTCGAATATTTAATAACTCGCTCGACTGAGTTCATTTCGATCCACCTCTGTTCGTATAATCTTGGTTATAACGGATGCAACCTCCCATTAACCCTTGGCCCACAGACGCTGGGTCATTGAAGACCAGGGATATCTACAGATTTGTAATAAATATCGTTTAGTTAGGAATTTATATATATTTTTTCACCTTATATCATTCGACATACGATCTTTTTGGAACAAACTAATTTTTGAAAATCATTTTAGTATTGATTGTTATTGGGAATAAGTAAAGAAATCTACTCATTTACATGGCAAAAATGAAAATATAATATATTGATAGAACGTTACATGATATAACCCAGTAATACTAAACAGATCGTTTAGTTAGGAATTTATATATTTTTTCACCTTGTATCATTCGACATACGATCCTACTTTTTGGAACAAAGTAATTTTTGAAAATCATTTTAGCATTGATTGTTATTGGCAAAAAGTAAAGAAATCTATTCATTTAGATGGTAAAAATGAAAAATATAATATATTGATAGAACGTTACATGATATAACCCAGTAATACTAAACAGATCGTTTAGTTAGGAATTTATATATTTTTTCACCTTGTATCATTCGACATACGATCCTACTTTTTGGAACAAAATAATTTTTGAAAATCATTTTAGCATTGTTATTGGCAAAAATTAAAGAAATCTATTCATTTAGATGGTAAAAATGCAAACTGTTATATATTGATAGAAAGTTACATGATATAACAAAGTAATTCTAAACAGATCGTTTAGTTAGGGATTTATATATGTTTTTTCACCTTATATCATTCGACATACGATCTTTTTGGAACAAACTAATTTTTGAAAATCATTTTAGTATTCATTGTTATTGGCAATAAGTAAAGAAATCTAGTCATTTACATGGCAAAAATGAAAATATAATATATTGATAGAACGTTACATGATATAACCCAGTAATACTAAACAGATCGTTTAGTTAGGAATTTATATATTTTTTCACCTTGTATCATTCGACATACGATCTTTTTGGAACAAACTAATTTTTGAAAATCATTTTAGTATTGATTGTTATTGGGGAAAATTAAAGAAATCTATTCATTTAGATGGTAAAAATGAAAAATATAATATATTGATAGAACGTTACATGATATAACCCAGTAATACTAAACAGATCGTTTAGTTAGGAATTTATATATTTTTTCACCTTGTATCATTCGACATACGATCCTACTTTTTGAAACAAAGTAATTTTTGAAAATCATTTTAGCATTGATTGTTATTGGCGAAAATTAAAGAAATCTATTCATTTAGATGGTAAAAATGAAAATATAATATATTGATAGAACATTACATGATATAACCCTTGAAAGTATTAATGATACAAGTCAATTCTCGATGAATTTTCATTAATATCGTAGGAATGTATCCGCAACTTGATTCTATCTTGTGCATAAATTTTGTATGTCTATTTTCACTAATGATATATGAATATTCGATCTTAATATGAGTTGATCTGAAGGAATAGGGCCTGACAAAAATTATTCAACCCTTCCTGAACCTTTTCACCATCAGCGAGCGAGTGTGGCAGCTTTCAAAATTTCCCACTTCGTCAACCGCCTGCCCTTCATCTCGATCCTTTACGTTCCCTCCGCGTTCAGGGGGAAGTTTCCCTCTTCCCCTACTCGTCCAGGGGCTGGTGTAATTTCATGAGAGATCAGAGGCGAGGAATTAAAGAAATTCCTTTGACCGTCGACGACCAAAGGGCCCCCGGCTTGGAATACCTAATCGGCATAAATATTTACCGTCGCGAAATATCCACCCTTTCTCTCTCTTTCCAACAGGTTTTCTTTTTCCTTTTCGGCGGATAAATGTTTTATGAGGCCGCTAATCAAAATGAAATTGGAGAGAGGTGAACCTAGTTTTTTCTTCCCCCTTGGGAGAGCAACCGATATATCGGGACGTCGCCAGGCTCCGAAATCGTTTAAAGATCCCCCGCGGCGTTGGTAAAAATTTCAGACATCCCACTCCCTCTTGACGAAACACATATTCCGCTCATGAATTCGTAACGAGGGCCGCCGCCCGCCCCACGTTCAAACAGATTCCGGGGCAGCAGGAGGGCGAAGTAGAATAAGCCTTTTCCGTGCAGACACGACGTTCACCTTCGTTACGCGTGTTTGAATTTCAACTGGAAACCGGGAACGGCACGCCCTAGGTATTCTGCTCCGTTTATTATTTTAAATCGTTCCAGTTTCACGAGAAAAGTCTTGCTACGCGCGGTAATTACGTGAAAGGCGGTTCGTTTAAGTTAGTCGCAGTATTGCGTGTGTAGTGTCTCCTGTGAACCTTTTTCTTCTTAGGATTTCCTACAGAATGTCGACTAATTTTATTTAAATTGATTTCAATAGGTGTGGAAGTAGATTGTTCATGAATAATTTTACTGTTTCATGAAGTCTAAGTGTTTTTTAGAAGGCGTGGAATGCATAAAATCCGTAGTCTAATAATGAATAATACCACGGCGTTATCGATATTTATAAGCATTTTCACAACTACGTACGATTAAATCAAGA